TTTTTACCCCTTGTCCATTTATATGAGATTGACACCATCGAATTACAAAATGTAGAAGAAAAAAGTGAGTATGACAGTGTCCAATAAGTGTATTACGTGCATACTTATTTTTGATTTTAATGTTTATATTTTAGTAGAGGTTTTACGGCGCTCACAACTGCATAAGGTCATATGAGCGCCAGTGCATACTTAGTATGCCAAGTAACTGTTACATAATATAGAGATTCAAGGATTACAGATGTAATGTAAGTCATTGATCTGAGAGCAAGATGATTTTAGAAATAATGGTGGTGATGAGTAATGATGTGGGATTGCGTTTAAGTAAAGTTAGCGTTAGTCCTATCTTCCTCTACTCCAATAAGTCACGAGGGACGTGGGCACCCCCTACCCGTTTCCTACTGAAACCATCTTTACGGTCATTGTGAAGTTCCGAAATGGTGGGCACAGTCTCTGATAAGGTGACATTGTTAGTGTTAGCTTATTCTATCGGGCCAAGACAAGTGTCGAGGGGAGCTTAGTGGGAAGACAGTAGAGTGGCAGGTATGTAGGCCCGGGTAAGTTCCCAAGTCCTGCTTTTTTTGTTTTACAAGATTATATTACAGCGTTATTTGATGGAAAATAGAACTCTAGAAGAAGAGAGTTTTTTGCCCGTGGTTCAGGTAGAAGACTGCAGGAGAATTAGCAAAGATGAAATCTATCGAGAGATCACCTTTCTCCTCCTAAACATAAATGTTCGTGGATTGTTTTTCGAGCGTTAAGAGGTTTTGCTTCCATCTCCTGTCTATATACTAGAAGTCAATACTAAATGGAAGATATGATTACAGAATGGCATGTTAATGTATAAACGAGACTTGTGCAACAGATAAGAATGATGGACTGGTAATTTAGCGAAATTTTCGAATTTCGTTGTACGTACTGATGTTACTCCAGTTGTCTAAGGTTGGCGTCCATGTCTTTGGCACATCTTGTTTCCAACGTGGCGTAATCTAAGAAACAATGTAAACTTCATAAATTTTCCTCTTACCTACCCCATTTTCGATGCTTTGGTAAATATAAAATGGAGTAGGCAAGAGGCAATTTTCACGGATTTTTTGGCAAATCTGAATACTACCTCAGGAAAAATTTCATTATCAAATTTCTAGTTCGTTTAGGAAAAGTTTGTCACTCACAAGTAAATCTATTGGTTGCAATGATGTATGCAAAAAAAAAAACAACAACCCTCAATTTATTTCCATTAAAAATAAGTGCGGTATTAATAATTACGTAAGACTTGTGAACGAAATCCAATAAGACCGCCATACCCATACCCATGGAAACGAAACGTTTTCCTCAAATTTGATTGCGGATTTCATGACTCCTTACTATACGTGATATATAAAGTGATAAATTTGGTAACATTTGACCCACTGATAAGCGAGATAGCCTTAAGGTGTATCCCCC